AAAAAAAGGTTACCATCCAGTATTTTTAGATTGCGGTGCTTTTAATGTGTACAAGTTCTGAGTATCTGTTAACATACAGCTTGATTAGAATCTGAACCCCTTTTATGATGTCCTTTTGGTAGAATTATGAGCTGGACTTTTGTTCAATGCTGAATCTTTGTTTGTACTTCAAACTTATTGATTTTAAATGTAATTGTGCTTCTCTAAGAATTTCGTATGTGAATGCAGTTGGTTCCTGGAGGTTCCCCAGACTCCGAATGAAAAAGGTGGCTTGGTTGATCTTTTACGTGTCCCGGCAGGTTAGGTGGCTAGTTTTTGTTGACTGTAGCTCACCATGCTCGGAATTTTCTATCACTACCTTTAATCTTAATGCAAGTTATGCAACATCAATGTTCTGTACTGTGTATATTATACTTGAAAAGTCGCTTTCATGGTGCTAGAGCTGGTTTGTGTTCTTACTATAATCAGCCTTTTTTTTCTTTTTTCGTTTCTGTTGAGATTGATGTGCATACATTAAAGCCACTAGGCACTAAGATTTCATGATTCTTCATGGAGATATATTGAGGTATTCACTTCTCTCCTCTTGGATGCGTGATTCTTCACTAAGAACCACAACAACTTTCATAGTTGAAAGCATATCTTTACCTATGGCTAATTTCAAAATGGTAACTAACTAAATCGTGTACAAGCTTTTGTGCTTGTAAAAGACTCAATCAGTCATGGATGCTGGTGAGACATCGACTGTCAAGACTTTACGGGTTTCAGGCCCTTGACTGCAAGTTTCAACTCTGGAGATGAGAAGAAAGTGAAAGAAGGGGGAGAATTATCATTATGTAACTGTACCATAACCCATCTTTCTCTAATGACCACTGGAAAGCTAGTTTTCTCCCCATATATTTAACTTTAAGCAAAGTTAACTATCAACCTTTCCATGATCGGATATAGTTTAAGGCAGAACACTCAGATCAACCTTTCCTTTTTTGGGGGTTTTCTAGAACGACCCGCCTCATAAATGATGTAAGAAAATGTAGCATCATTAGCACATGTGTTACATTTTGGTATGGGGGAAAACATTTGAGGCGTAAGATGAAAATTGAAGCGCAGCTTGTTAAAGACATGAAAAGCGCGGTGCATTATGAGAGTCGCAACTTGCAATGCTGTCAAACTCTATTTGATTAGGCTCGACATATCACATATCGTAAAGTATGCATATTCTAGTGTACTCTTATAGTGAGAGCTTGTACTCTTCTTTAATATTAGAATTTAGTACAGATAAATTACTTTAAACTCAAGGCAGGACACATGAAAATGAAAAACGAAAACGAAATGTTATGAAGGACATTTGGTTCGGTACAATAGTTAGGAGAGATGGAAAGACGAATAACGTGGATTGAGATCCATCCACCAAGAACAAGTTTATAGGGACACTCATATTTAATACTCCCGACCTGAAACATGATAGAAAATTATCGTTCATCCTTTTTATTCCCTTTGCTTTAGCCAAAAGGAAAAAGGAAAACATCTGATTGAACCACGTACATATTCTTGCAATGGACAACTCTTTTAATGTGTCGGAGAAATACTAAAAATGTGAGCCATTTGATTAAATATTTTGTCGTGTGCATACGATAAAAAGGGAAAAATGAACATAGATATATTTTTAAGAAACTAAATGGGCATAAGATAAATATAAAGAGGGAAAAAAAATACTTTTAAGAATGTAAATGAACAATAAGATAAATATGTAATGAATAGAGATGATATTATTTAAAAATAGTTAAATAGTGATTAGTAATAATTGACAGAAATATGACTTTTTTTTATTTTAAAAATATAATAATGAGANTTTTTTTATTTATCGTATGACAAGGTTAAATCAAATGTATAGCATATTTTCTATTTTTTTTGTTATCTTAATGAATAATCGTATAAGGCCAAAATTATAAAATAAAATTTTACAACGTCCAATATCCACCTTAAAATGTTCCTTCCTCGAACCTTTAAGCACACAACGATGCCGTTTCAGCAACATGTTATGTACTGTGTACATTAGTCATTCATTTTTCTTTTTAATATTAATTTTATCCATTTCTAAATTATTATTTTGTTTCTTCTGTTCAATTATCAATCTTCAACAGCTTGAACAAAACGCGGTCTAGGTTAAAAGTGATTTGAGGCTTTATTAATCCGACACATAGTTTGTGGGCCTTTGTCTCATATCGTTATCGATCTCATATGAAACGGTAAAATGACAGTTTTGGTAACATATGCAGACAAAACCTTCGATTTGTGAAAAAATATTATCTTAAATACTGGAAAACATTATTTTATAATCCGACTAGTTAACTGAACTTACTGTGATATGTCTGTTTGTAATTTTGGAGCATTATAATGATGGTTTATAATGGAATAAAAACAATGGTGTAGTAGGCATATGTGTTCACTCACATGCACAACATAAATGTAGCGACCACACATGGTTTCCTTAATTTGGGTAGAAATAGACAAATATTTACTGTGCCTTAATTAAGGTTGAGCTTTTTAATTTTTGTTTTCTCCTTACATAGGGTGTTAGTCGAGCCTAGCCGAGGGAGTAGCTGATGCTCGTTTAATAAATGAGTCGACTCGGCTCTTCTCGACTCATTTAATAAATGTTGAACCTTAAACTAGTTGTTTGCGAACATGAAATGTACACGAGCAAGTTCCGCATGACTGTTTCATTTAAAATCTGTAATAAATAAGAAAAATGATATATATATAAAAAAAAAAAGAGATTTGTTCAAGAACAAGCTCAGTTAGGCTGTTTGGTTGTTTAATAAACGAGATCGATTAACTGTTTGAACTCTGTTCAATTTTAATAAACGAACAAATGGAGATTGAACTTTTACAAGCCAAACCGAGTTATGATAGCGAGCATCTCAATATGGTTTTTTTTTTTTGTTTTGTTTTTTGTTTTTTTGATTTTTTTTTTTAACCAACACCCCAGTAGGATGGGGGTTAAGGCAGAACCTCCAACCTGTTTATAAAATGCCCTAAATGGGTCGAAAAGTCACAAAACTACAAGTCCAATGTCTGATATACATCCAGTCAAACGAAACGAAAAGAAAAAATACAGATAAAAGCTGACAACTGCAGCGGGAAATATGAAAATAACAGATCATGTTCGAGGGGGGAATCCCGGCTAGAAAGTCAGCATCACAGTGTGGCGAGTGCGCCAAAAGGTAGGTCCGGCTACACAAATCTGAATGAAGGGTATCCCATCTGGTCCATCCGTATGAGAGTCCGAAGGCGAATATGAATGTCGTCAGGATAAAGAATGCGTCTGTGGGGGGTGGAGGACCCGATGCCAGCGAGGAAGGCAGCTGACCGGTTCCCCTCGCGGAAGATGTGCGAGATCCGGGAGTGAATCGACTGGAGAGTGGCTCTGATGCGCATGAGAGGATGCTAGATCTGCCAACTGTCCTGGTGTCCAGATGACAGAAGAGTGATGACAGCGGCAATCTGCAGACCAATCTGAAGCGCCTGAACCTCCGCGTCATAGCTCGAGGAGGCCCGAAGAGGGGCATGAAACGCGGCAATAAGGGCGCCGCTATGATCCCTAATCAAGCCCCCACCTCCTGCAACTCCAGTAAGTCGATCAAAGGCTCCATCAGTGTTTAGCTTAACCCAAGGCGACTCGGGTTTCAGCCAAACAACAGCTCTAGGACGTGGATGCTGGACAGGCACCAGCGGAGGTGGTGCAAGGCAGTGAGGTGTTGTGCAGCCTCTCCAGTCTCTTTGGGTAAGTCTGCCCAAAGCGGTGAGGAGGGAAAGATGTCGGTCAACCCGCAAAATAATATGAGAAGACAAAAAAGGGTTATCCCTATGCTTCGCGTTATTCCTTTCTGTCCAGGTGGACCTGTCCAAAAGATCAGACAAGGAATAAGGAAGCTCACGTGTCTACTGTGTGTGCGGTGTCTGAAAAAATTCAGAAGCTCAATGAATGTATCTGTGAAGGGTAAGGGGATATGAGTGTAACTGGTATAATGCCCCACACTCTCCTCACAGTCTCGCTCTCTAAAAACAGGTGGATAAAAGTGTCTGTCTGAAAATCGCCAGTCCCAGCACAACAGTAGCAACGCGATGGGAAGGAGAATCCCCTCGTCTGCATCAAGTGTCAATCGGTAGGCGGCGCAAAAGAAGACGCCAAAGGAAAACATATATGGTAGGGATAAGTAGGTCGGTCCAGATGACCCCGAAGAGAAGGTTAGGCCGGTCACCCTGCCATACTTCCCCCCAAGCCGAGGTCGTAGAGAATGCACCCGAAGATGTAAGCCTCCACCTCATACCGTCCAAACCGTCCTCCGAGATGAGAATCTGCTGGATCTCGTCTATCACCTGATCACTAAAGCCCGCTCCAATACCGAGAATCCTCTCTAGCCTATCCCTATCCCATCTCCCCTCCGGCCACAGGTCCTTCATCTGTAGAAATGGAAGGTGGCTGACCTGTCTAGAGCTCGAAAGAAGGCCCTCACCGAATTACCACTCATCCCAAAAGCTAACCTCCCCCCTCCCTCAGAGACCAAAAAATGTGCTCCTGAGCACGTCTACCAACCCTGGTGAGCCGCCTCCACTCCCTGCTATCACAGTCGGTAGCCGTCACCCGACAGGGATGGGCAGCGCCTCCAGGACAGTACTTCCGGCGAAGATACTGAGCCCAAAGTGACTTACCCTCCCTAAATCGCCACCACATTTTGTAAGAAAATGCAGTGACGACATCCGAGAAACGCCGGATCCCAAGACCCCCCTCAGATAAGGGGCGACAAACAGAGTCCCATTTCACCCAATGGACCTGTCTCCCTCTCCGAGAACCCTCCCCATACCCCCAAAAATAACGGGTCAGAATCTGATCTAGCTCGTGGATAATATACTGGTAGGGATCAAGGAACAGGGTGTTGAGGGTGCTCTTGATCAGAGCAAGTCAGCATTTCAATATGGTTAACAACTCTACTTCTACACAAATTAGAGACGATTTCCTGCTTTTTAGTTTACCCTGAAAAATTCAAGAAGTATAATTAATTGCTTATTCGAAAAGGTTCAATTATGATCATAATATCTTTGTAAATCTCGCATTCCTCGTCCAATCAGCACATATATCATTTTTTATTTTTTTTATCTCATTCGAAAATAGAGATGAAAATTTTTAAGAAAATAATTTAGAAATAATTGAGACAAATTTTGAAAGTAAGAAACAATATAAAATAAAAATGTAACGATTAATATTGATGCGATATAAAAAAAATAAAAATATTAATTAATAAGTTTGGCAGTTAGAAATATGTGAGTGGATGAATATTACTTATTATTAAAAATACATATTAATAATTATTATTATTTTTAATTTTTTAATTATCTGAGCGGACCCAGAACCGGCGATTCGCCAAACTGGCCCGTATATGTNATATTTAATAACGAATCTCAAACTTGCACTCTATTTGCAGTATCCAAGAAAGTTGATAATCTTTGTTATCTATAAAAATTATTTAAGCAAAGATATGATTCCATTTACCACTCCACTTTCTGTTCGTTTTCTACTGTCCTACATATAACTGCATTAGGCGACTAAGGGCCATGAGGAAAGTGATGGGAAACCATATAGCAAATCTCATTGGGGATACTAAATATAATAATTTTTTCTTTATTCTAAAATTCAGAAAAAATCCTCCCAACTCCTAAGCCCCGAATTTATTTTTTACAGTAGCTACCTTTTTATCATATTGTGACAATAGAGTTCAACTAATCAAGATATGGAATCATTACCCCACACTTTTACCCTACACTTAACTCTATTATAACAACTAAAAAAAATTGAAATCAAAATTTCGATGGAGCATCACAATTATTTGAGTCTATTTTAAAAGAATTACATGTCCTGTAAGAAATAGTCCTACTGTAGAAAGATATGCACTCATTGTTAAATAGAACTATAGAAGATGATTGGTCTAGATGATGTGATACCTTTAAATCTATTTGAGATAGAAGTAGAAATCAGGTTATTTTGCATTTGAATGAATTTAGACTATTTTACTTGACTTTATCAATTTCATTCAAGGTTTAAATTTATTTGTATGTCAGATAAGCAGAATTGAAACAAACAACCAATTTGAACTGACCAAAAGAAAAAGCTAAAATTCAACCTACCCAATAAAAAAATTGGGGCCAAAAGGGACTTAAAAGGAGAAAATAAAATAAATGAAAGAAAATATTGCAACTGACAAATCTTGGAACAAGCAAAAAACCCTGCCAGGCCAGGCCCGGCCCGGCCCATGTTGTAAGGACCACTTAACTTTCCCCAGGTCGACAGCCTATAACCCAAATACATTAACTCTAAGTTCAATTGATTAATAATCTACAACTGTAAGCTTAATTTACATGGTTTTATTACAGCCCATATGATCACCTTATAAAAACAAACCTTTTTTTTTTGGTTCTCAGAGTCACAAGACAACCAGCCCTCACTCATTGCCTAGTTGTCTCATTATATCCATATTCTCAGATTAATCCCAAGAAAAAAAAAATATTAATTTCACTAATCTTACTTCTCCATGTGCAAATAGCATCTGAGCTCTGCATATGAAAATAGCCAAAAAGAAAGAATCTTTTGTGATGTACAGACAGCACAGATAGATTTCTTGTGTGTTGTGCATTTGACCAAAACAAATTGTCTCCCATATTTTCACTTCAGTTGTAATAAAGATTCAATTACAAGGACTAAATTATATTGAACCTAACATGCAGGTGAGTTAGCCCCTGCAATTTTTCTAATTTTATTTGTTGTCAACATAATCAGTGCCTGATCATAAAATTCAATAATCCCTCATCTCAATAATTACACAATCTCCTTTTTTTCATATATATGCAAACAGATCATTGAGTGGCTCTCCAAGATAACAACACAAGAACCTTCAAGGGTGGCTAATTCTAAAGGTAAGCTACAAAGTACTTGCTAGAATTTCTAAAAATGTGAACAATTTTCAACATTGTTATAAATGTACTAATGTGAAAAGTTCTTGAT